CTGTGGATTCCGATCCGGCTTCTCCCGCCTCGGCTGCCGATGTCCGCCGATCCGATTGATTTCGACCGCCGATCCGACTCAGCCGTTCGATTCCGGGGGCGCCTGCCAGAGGCGCGCCAAAAGCGCGCCAGCGGTGCCCGCCGATCGAGACAAGACAACATGCGGGAAAGCAAAACATCAGCACAGACAGAATCTTTTGAGGAGGGGGAGGAGGAGGAGGAGGAGGAGGAGGAGGAGGAGGAGGAGGAGGAGGAGGAGGAGGAGGATAAAACGGCGGTCCGCGCGGATTATTCTGATCGGCGCTGTTACCCCCCCTCCCTGGCGCGCGGAGCGCGGCAGGGGCGGCGTCTGAGGCGCTGCCAGGGGGCTCCAGCGCCGATCCAAGGAATCCGCGGGGAGCTCCGGAAGTATATCTTTGAGCGGGTTCTTGTTGTTCTACAAATGGTGCCGGACGATCTGAGCGCGCCGATGCAGCTTCTTGTCAGCATTGGGTTGGCGTCTCGCCCTATGTGGGACTCCCCATAAGACGCATTGGTTACTGGCGATGCGCATGCAGGAGGGTGGCGCAGCAATAGAACTACATGAGCGTAGACCTTCGAAGGGCCGCGAGGAGTTCTTGGATCGGCGCTGGACCCCCCCTACCCTGGCGCGCGGAGCCGCTGCTGCGCTCCGCGTGCCAGGAAGGGGGTCCAGCGCCGATCCTAGACCTCCGAGCGGGCCTCCCGCAGTTTGTTGAGTACGGTGGGGGCGTTCGGTCATGGATGTGCCCAGGAGGCGTGCGTGCGCACGTGCGCGCGCGGACGCCTCCACACCGACTCGTACCGACGAGCCTGCGTACTCGCGTAGATGAGACGATGCGCCCCTGCATATCGCAAATCATGTGATATCTGTCTGCTCTCTGGCCTTCTCTGTCTCCGTCGTTGTCTGACTGCAGCCGCTCTGGTGGCCCAGGCGGCAACATGGGTCGCTCTGCCATCTCGGCTGGGGCTTGCCTGAGACCACTCGCCGATGGTGGGGACGAGCCGCTGGGGACGCATGCTGAAAACACTGGACGGTGGTCGCTTGAAAGTCGGGGTGCCGTTGGGGTCGCGAGGCTTCCGGATCCCGGGGGTGAGAGGCTCCGCCGCTCGGGAGGCCGAGCTCGGCGCGTGCCGATGACAACAGACAGCTTGGCTGTGCGTTGGAACCGGCATGTCAGCACCTGCCAGCGGGCCCCGCGTGCCAGGAGGTGTCGTCGCCCAGCGCGAGAGTTTCGGGCAGAACTGTCCAGGCCGATACTCCGTCCCGATGGGCGACCCCTGCCCGAGGAATTCGGAAGCCTTGTCACTCAAACGGTGGCCCGCGGGGGCGTGGTCAAAGGGGAGGCTCGGGGGCGGCGGTGCGTGCGGGGTGGGGAGGGATGTCCCTTCTCACTTCCCGTCTCTCCCCCTTCCACCTCCTCTCCTTCCCCCGTCTCTTCTCCTCCCCCCCTTTTTCCCCTCCTCACTGCTGCTGCTGCTGCTGCTGCTGCTGCTGCTGCTGCTGCTGCTGCTGCTGGAGTGGGAGTGGGAGTGGGAGTGGGAGGTTGACCTGTCCACGCAACGGGACGAGTCGCTCACGCAAGCAAGCATTGACTGGCGATAGTGCATCGCGGCACCACGTAGATCTCTACATACTGATCGTGCGGACTTCGAGTGCGTCGGCCAGCACCTCTTCCCTGCTCCTCCTCACCTCCGTCCATCCTTCTTCCCGCCGCAGCCCTGGAAAGTGCCAAGACGAGTTTCCACGCTGGAGGCGCAGTGCCTGGGCCACGGGGCCCAGGCTCTCTTGACTCGCCGGCCCAGCCCGTGCGGCCTGGACCCAGGCCCCACGCCGTACATCGGGCCGCCGTGCCGTGTATACAGGGCGGCGACTCCAGGAAATTTGGCCCCCTGATGGCGCTGATCGAGGCGCCCCACGGCCATATCTTTGTATCGCTCGGACGTGTGCATTTTCTCCCGGCGGGGACTATTCAGGAGCATCCTGGATCATCCTGCGAAAAAAAAAACCACGCACGAAACCGAAAAAAGCACAGGGAATGGACGTCCGAGCGATGGCCAGAGATCCCCTCGAGCCCCCCTCCCCGCCGCCCGCCCGCGGACGGCGGCAGCCTCGGCGGGGAAGGGTGCGCCACGACAGCGCGCCGCTGCGCGGCCG